TTTTTTTGTCCACTTATTTTCTTAATTTTTATTTAAATAAATACATCCAAAATTTATACTCATTAAAAGGTTTTTGTGTTTAGAAGAAGATAAGAAGAAAAACACCCAATTTTAAGGACGCACTAAAATTCTTCTACTCATGAGTATTAAGATTAATCCTCATTAGTTTCAAGACATTAATTTCATTAAAAATAAAAATAAAAAATACGATTTCTTACCCTTTTTTTTAAGACTTACTTATGATACTATGTACGAATGAGATAGGAAATAAATGTAAAACATTTATCAAAAATTATAAACAAACAAATAAACAAACCGACAAATTTGATATTATATATAAAAATAATAAAAAGGTTATTGGTCTTTGTTAATATAAATAATCTAAAATAAAAAGACAAAATGTACGAACGTAATATAAATATTAAACTCAAAATAAAATTAATAATAAAATACGAACCTTTAATGCCAATAATATTTAAAACTATTTAAAAAAAAAGCAGTTATGTGCACATTATCCACAATATACTCATTCCATTTACATGTAAAATTATTCACAAAAATATAGATTAAATTGTAAAATTTGGACACAAAATGATTATCAGTTATATAATTAAATGTAAATATTAAAATTTGAACCAATTCATAAGTACTGAGAAAATATTCGTAATTGAGTTCTGAGCATGCTGTGAATATTGAATTATAAATTGATAATGATTGAAAAATGTATTTAGTCAGTCGATAGTTTGCAAGTAAATGTGAAATTCAATAACATTAATTAAGTAGGTAATATTGATTTTTAAATAGTTGACTAAAATTATTTTAGCTTAAGGGACTTTGCCGTATTTCTGAAAAATCTCCTAATTCTATTATTACTCATTCAATTGGTAATAATGTTGACTTGCAAGGTACACGGACTTGTATAGCAACGCCGAGTATTATTAGTTTCCGGAAGCAACAACAAAGGTCACATTACAATTCAGTCTTGCTGGTTATCTGATAACACTTAGCTCACAAATGAGCTAACTTAATCAGATAAGATGCCTGAACAAACCAGCTGTGCCTAAAAGAGAAAATAATTTCGTGACAATGGGACCGTAGGAGCAGGTGGGCAGGTAAGAACCGTGCCATCTGCTGTGACAGTGTACGTCTCAGGGTCGACCGTAATTTGTGGGAGGGCATCATTAAGCTTCATGTCAAGCTTTGTCAGCTTCCTCACGTTACTTACAGCTTTAACTCTCTTGTTCAGTCCATATTGCTCTTTTACTCCAGAAGAAAGAGCAACCTGTAGAAATTATATATGAAAGCATTAAAACAAAAGTGAAGAGTCAATGAATAAAGAGTCGATGAGTAAAGAGCTTCCAGTGGACGTTGCATACCTCACTGACAAATGCAATTGAATTGGCACTCGCAGCTTTGCCAAATGCTCCAAACATGGGCCTCATTGTTACCTGTTGGTCAAACACTCTGGATTAATTTGGAATCTCACTAGGAATGTAGTTGATTTGCAATAATATCTTAAGTCCTTTGCTGTCAAACAAAATTAATCTCATACAGCACGCAGCATGTCTAAACAAACACTTGCAGAGAGAGTTCACATTTGATTTTTTTTACTGAAAGAGGCCGTCTAATACCATTCTCAACTTGAACTTTCAAATTTTTGAAATATTTATCAGAAATACCGGTTCTGGAGTTGGGATGCTCGCATTCGGATCGCCCATATTAGACCAAGCTATAGTGCCTCCTTTTAACACCATTTCTGGTTTGGCTCCAAAAAATGACGGCTTCCATAAAACAAGATCAGCCAACTTGCCTACCTGCATAGAGTCATACCACTTAACTATTTACATATTTTTTTCATGTCCAGTCCACTGGATATATCTGTTCTGGAACCAGCACCTTTTTGGAATTCTCCAGAGAAGATAAGCACTTAGCATGCTCCACAAGGATGGATACATTTATCTTCAATGAACATGGTCAAATTTTCTCAGGATGCAACGATAAAGGCTAATTTTATTTTACCTCAACAGATCCAACATGATCAGAAAATCCACAAGCTATAGCGGGATTAATGGTGTACTTTGCGATGTATCGCTTGATACGCAAATTATCATTTTCTGGTGAACTGTTTTCAAGTGGTCCTCTCACTAACTTCATTTTGTGGGCAGTTTGCCAAGTTCTGGAAATTACCTGTCAAGAACGGGACACGCTTATAATGTCGATACAAATACCAAATATTAAATCTTTCATATCCCGCAAATATAAATCTACGATATTCAGAAAAGTAA